TATGTATTGTGCACATGGGAGGCATGGCCAGGGCTAGTGAGCTCTTTAGGAGGCAGAAGGTATTGCACATTCTTTTTTGTTGAATTGGCTGTCTAGCAGTCCCATATTTTGCTGGATTTAACTTTTTTGCTACATAAACAGGAACCACTGCAAAACTTCATGTTCTCTAAAATAACTTGCGGCCCCATTTGTAATCTAGCAACACTCATGTGGACGACTTTGCCAAATGTGTTATCCATACTAGCTAGGTATGTAACTGTTGTAACTCAAAGGTGTCTCATAATATGTACCATTCACTGAATGATGAACATTAGAACACTGTCATTTTTTACATTGCCTTACCGTAAAACTGACATAGGTTGGGTAGTTATCAAGTAATGGAAGGCAAAGATAACTCTTTGGTGTTAATGATGAATGGCATCTCTGTCTCCAGATTTTCAGTGGCGTGTTAAGCGATTTGGATATTTAAGTGCTTTTACCTTCCTCTTTTATTTGGCATGTTTTCTCTTACTCTCCATAACATACGTAAAAAAAAACAAAAAAAGATTGCATTGTGTGTCTATTACAAATGTCCTTTTCTCTGACTTGATTTTAGCTGTTTTAAATTAGCTTTCAGATTTTCTTTTTTTCTTTTCAGCTTTTGTTAAATGTTTATGTAATTTAATTGTAACGTTGTTGAATATCAGAATTTTTCCAAAGCAGTCGTTATCTCCTCAGCATGAAAGGCAAAAGGACTGCTGTGATCATAGCTTTGTGTTGCATGTAGATAGAAATGCAAATTCTCCTTTCCTTTTGCAGGCTTGGCTATCAGAGGTGGAAGGCAAAGTTTTACAAAGGAGCGAGAGGAGGCACAGCTCGGAGGCAAATCACCTTGTGGCACAAGGAAGAGAGAGGTTGTTATCTGATAAGAACTAGCTCTGGGACTTTACCCACTTCATAACATTTATGGCTTTAAATAAAAGTTTAAGATTGCAGCAGTCTTTAAAGCTGAACCCCAGGCACTAATACTTATTTGACAATTTTCTAAATAACCATACGGGATACAAATTAACTTTGAAACCCTATGCATTTGCACTTGTTGCTTTTGCAAAGCCAAATATTACTTTAATATTAAAAGAACTTATAAAAGTGACCCCATTATAGCCTATGCAGAGCTGTGGGTGGGCTCCTCCTGGGACCTCTCATTACTACTTAGTGACATGTGGGTGCTTGGGAAACTACATTTCTATTCATTCCAACCTCCCTATTCCTTAGGTAAAATAATTTGATTTGGGGTTTTTCGGACAGGCATAACATATATCTTTAACTGTCTGAGTTGAAAATAACTCTTGTGATGTATGTTGTATTCTGAAGGATTCATTTTCTTGACATACAGTACAGAACACAGGCAGATCCAGAGACGAGTGGGTAATATATGCAGGTATCCTCAGGGGATTGGACACTGGCAACAGTTGTGAGGACGCTCATAAAACCCCTTCTACTCCAAAAAATCCTCAGTAGGTGATGGATGTCTCCTCTCTGTTGGGGGAGACGTGTAGTTTATTTTGTTTCTGTGATTCTTCAATCAAGTGTCTGATCCAAAAGCTGCCACGTTGCCTCTGTGACCATATGCAGCCAGAGGAAGTGCCCCACAGGATTAAAGATGTTAGGCTGGCCAGTAATGCAGCTTTGGGCGCTGGATTCTGCATTAGGCACCAACTTTGGCACATGGTGCAGCGGTTTGGGTTGGTGACAGGGTGTTCTACACAGGTCCTGTGCAGAGGCGTATCTGCACTGGTGTGACCCAGTCCCGTAAGACCCCTTCAGGAGTATGCTCATTTTTAGTGAGTAAAGCCTAGGCACAGTGGACTTTTCCCCCTATGCTTATTGAATGTCTGACGCTACTGGTAGGTAAATCTCCGACCCTATCTCACCCATGGGTACCGCTGCTCTCCATGAGTGCTTGCCCTTTAAAAAAAGAATTTCCTTGAAGGGGCAAATGACGAGGGTCCATTCCAACAATGCCTCCCTTTTATCAGATATATCTTTGTGGATTTTACATGTAGGATTGCGTTACTTGTCGCTACTACCATCATGCAAGGAGCCTTTTCTTTTTCTTCACAAGGATAAGGTAATGCTTAGGCCTAAGTATCCTTTTTACCTATGGTGGTGTCTTTCTTTCATCTGAATGAGGACATCATCCTCCCCTCCTTTTTGTCCTGCCCCAAAACAGCCTAAGGAAGTATCTCTCCACTGTTTGCATGTGGTTTGGACTGTTCCGACAAACATATTGGAGGGATTTATCAAACCTGGAGCAGTTGCCCATGGGAACCAATCAGCTTCTCTCTTCAGTTTGTTCAGTTAAGATTTGTAAATAAAAGAGAAGCTGATTTGTTTGCCATGCACAGCTGCTCTAGATTTTGTCTGCACCAGTTTTGATAAACACCCTTCATTGTCTTTCTCCTTCCTGGAGGACCTTGCAGGGAGTTCCCTGCATTTTGTTCCACCCTCTCAGGGTGAATCATGTCATTGTGCATTCCTATTTCGTAAATGTTAAGGCTCCACCTTTTCCTGTGAAGGCTCACTTTACTAGATCTGTAAGTGCTTCTTTGGCCTTTCAACATCGGGCATCTGTGTTGCAGATTAGCAAGGTCACCACCTGGTCTTCTGTTCATTAAGTTCTACCACCCCCCCTCCCCATGGGCCTGAATGTGGTTGCTTTTTTCGATGTGTCTCTACACTGAAGTGGTGGGTTTCTGGAAAACTAAAATTAGGCATGATACACAGAAAGCCACAGAAATATCTTTCATGGCTTAGTAAAACTAGTTTGTATTTAGTCTGCTTTAAAAAAAAAAGCAGTAATATACATGACTGCACAACCCATGCAAATGATTTTTGGTTATGATCTATTAGACCTAAATTGAGTTGTCCAGAATTCCATCTTCGTGTAGAAACACCGGGAAAGAGGGACACTTTTCTAGCTAATAATTTGGAATGACTTCACTGGAGTATTGGTATTTGAACCTAATATGTCTTTTGCACCAACTTATGGAAGACTGTGACCATTCCAGGGTACGTTTTGCAGAAAGTGCTAGGAAGTAATGCATGCATCTAAACATTCTGTGTCTCAATAGCCCAGAGGGAAGCTACACAGAGGATGCCAACCAAGAGGGCAGAATCCAGCCACAGCCTCATGTCCATTCAGAATTTGATGAATTTGATGATGATGATGACCCGCTTCCAGCCATAGGACATTGCAAAGCACTCTATCCTTTTGATGGTATGTATACTTAATTTTTCAGTTTAATTTTAACCTTTTTTCACTTATCCCTCATACACACAGAATATATCCAAAGCTAAATGTTTTACCTCCTGTCCTGGAGGCATAAAATGAGTGGGAGGAAGTCTCCTCTAAGGCATTTGTCACCAAAAAAGTGTTTTCCCCCCTCCCCCCACAGGACAATTGGAGCCGACAAAGCTCCCAAACATGGACACTGCAATAAAAACGTAAGCCTTTCAGAAACTATCCAAAATTAAAAGTAAGATTTTAGCTTTAGATAATCTTTTAATGAAGATGGGTAAAAGGATCATCAGTGATTTTTGACAGTATTTTACTACCCTCCCCTTTACCTTTTTTGAGTGTTTGGCAGATCTGTTATACACCTGTGTGTACTGGGCTTTTTCCTATGCATTTGATGTGAGAGCCCTGTGCTACAAATCTAAAAACTTCCTGCCAGTCATTCTGCAACGCTGAATAAACTGGTAGCCATGCAGGACTAGAGACACACTGTTGCCAAGTCATTGATGCTGTAAAATGGATATGATGTCCTTATCTCACCTCAATGCCTACATTAGGCTGTTTGTTTGCTCTAAACTATTACATCAGCTCTATTTGAACAACTGGAAAACAATCAGGAAACAAATGCAGGTGTCTTTTGCTGCATTTTTTCTATGTGCACCAATTACAATTTTGTTGAACCTATGGGTGGGTGTTGTAAATGCGTAAAACAAATCTGCAGCTTACTTAGTTTATTTAAAATGCCATACCTGCAAAAAAGCATAGGAATGCTTGACTCTCCCCCTGCCTGCTCATGACTCGGCTACAAGGTTTCCCTTGGCGTGGAGCTGTTTTTAAAACAAACACTTCAGAGTGTCAGCCTCCAGTGTTCCCCCACCTAAGTGGTTGGAATGTGGAGGTTCAAGAGATCAACAATCCTGGAAGTGTTGGTTTTGTTAAGAGACTACACCCAGGGATTACAAGGCAGTAGAGCAGTCTTCACGGGCACAGGTAGCTGGAAAGATAAGTATTCTATTCTGCTTTTGCAAAAAAAAAAATCTGAGTAGTTGACAGTTGCTTTAAGGTCAATTTGTAGCCAATATGACTGACAAACTGGCTCTAGAGTTTAATAGTAGGCAGCTCCAGGTTCTTGTGCACAGTGGCAGTTTTGGTCCAAAATGCCCCCCAGAAGCCTTGAAAACCCATAGTTTTGTTTTATGCTTCTATTGTTGGTTAGAAAACCTGTCTTCGAGTCCACCTATCTCAGTGATGGGCTAGTAGAGAACCATGGAATGGTATAGGCCTAAGTGCTGGTTTTCTAGGTGAGGTAGGTATTTGTATAAAAGGGCACTTCAGGTTTCAGTGCTCCAGAAGGACACTGAAACAAAGCTTGCATTACAGGTGGCCGCTATTGCATTGCAGTGCCAGTTTTCTAAGGCAACATTATACTGTTAAAAATACTAACAAAGGGGCATGGCTGGGAGCAGGATGATGGCAAATTCATGTAATATGAGCTTGTTGCTAGAGTATCCACCATGAATGAGTCCCTGCCTGAAGTTCCTTTCTACGCTCTGGTATATATTTGTCCACTAAGAAGAAAAAAATCTGCTGCCCAAACCAAAATGGCACTGCGGATACCTGTTGTAGGCCTGAAGCCAAGCCATTGGTTCTCTGGCCTGCTCAGCTGGTGCTTGGCATCCCCTTGCTCTACCATCTTGTGGGTTCCGATGAGCTCATTCAGTAGAGCATTGCTAAAGCATTGCATTGTTATACAGAAGCAAATACATTAGCGTGCTTTAGTTTATTCCAGGGCTGGCGAAATCCCAGGAGCCAGGTAGCCAATGCTCCTTAAAAATTAGAGCTTGTGTCTGTTTGAGGTTTTCTCTAGTTGTCAATGGAGCTGACCCGTAACAAAAAAAAAAATACTGCTGGCTCCTGGATTGGACAGACTGGCTCTTGAATTCCATATCGAATTGCCCACCCCTCATTTAATCAACATTCAGCAAGAAAAACTGGTTAACAAGGGACTATTTTATAGCAGTGGTGCTTTGATGACCAATAACTTCTGTTCACCGTCTGGGGGTGCTCCTGGGTATTTTATGCATGTGTTGGGATGTAAATCATTCTGCAAAGTGCTGCTATGTCTTTTAGTAAATCTTCTATAATGAATGCTTTTCTTTCCAGGTAATAATGAAGGCACTCTGTCTATGAAAGAAGGTGAAGTTATGTACATTATTGAGGAAGATAAAGGAGATGGCTGGACAAGAGCAAGGCGACAGAATGGAGAGGAGGGCTATGTCCCCACGTCATACATAGATATTACTCTAGAGAAAAACAGTAAAGGTGCAGTAACTTATATCTAAACTTCATACATATATCCATTCAGTGAAAGATGGAAAAGATTTCTTGCTGAGAGAGAGATAAACATGAAAGTATTTGTTTTTGCTGGGTGGCTGCTTTTCTTTCTGTCACCACAGTGAGGCGCCTCACATGTCTGGATGAAAGCTCTGAACACACGGAGGAATTTCCCATCCATTGCCGTTGCCTTAAACATGACTGTTAGGATTTTAATCTGTATATTGATTTATATTTTATAAAGATGTTTTCAATTTCCCTTTTATGGTAAAAAAAATAAGACCGCATAGAAAGCTAGAGTTTTTATTTTTTGCTGCTTTTATCATTCATCCAGGAAAACCTTTACACAAGCCTTTTAAAAGATGTCTTTTTATCTTTGTATATATGTTTTTAATGGACAAGCATTTGTTTTTTCCATCTCTGAAAACTCAGTTTAATAAAGAAGACAAGTCAGAGACCCAGAATAAAGAGGAAATTGGCATTTAATAGTTTTAGAAGTTTTTAAAGAATATCAGACAATTGTTTTGTTTTTTTCTCAAGTTATCTTAGCAAATCAAATTGGATTGATTAGTGGGTATAACAAGGTTTTTAGAGTGCTGTCTGTGCACGGATGCAGCGATCTTCAGTCCAAAGTTAATTGCTTCCCTCATCTTGCTGTACATGTACACATGTCCCCATGTAAGTAAAGTGGGTAATAGTCTGTACATACCCTGGTTGCCTTTGACTGTTTTTCTGTGTGTTTGCGGCTCAGATGCCATTGAATGGTAGCTGCTTATTAGTATTCATTGCCCTTGATGCCGCCCATACTATGGAAGCGTTAAGACCCCTATTTTTGGTCCTGTAGGTACTGAGGATAACAAAGTGGAACTCCAGGTAAACTGGGGAAATACACGTGTGTTTAGATTTCCAAATGACTTTATTTCAGCCAGCCATTCTTGTAATACACACACATTCATGCGGGTTCCAGTGAGAAAGCAGTGAAGTGACCTAGGAGGCTGCATTGATGAACTGTTAATGAAGAACACGGCGGGGGAGAATTACTCTTGTGTTGGGGATACCCGTGCACTGCAAGGGTTAAGTTCTTTTGTCTAGGGGGCTGAAATAAATCGGTTTCTCACCTGAACTTCGGCTTCTTCACTTCTAATGCAAGTTAATGGACCTGCAAAGGACATGAAGACCTCAGCTAGCCTTAGACCGCCAGAGGCTGGGGGAGAAGAGGCTGCAAGGACCAGTCTAGTAGCTTGGAGGAAGCCAGCAGGACTGAGGATCAGATAAATAAATCTGTTTGAGTCCCCTAAACAAAGTGAGCAATTTAACCCTTGCAGTGTGGGGGTAGTCCCAATGCAAGGAAAGTTTTTTTGATTTTCCTGGAGTTCTACTTTAATCTGGAACTCCAGTATGTCCACCGTTTTCAGGCAGACGTGTGTAAATCGCAAGACTGGTTGTTTAGAATGGTTAAATCCTTTGGTAGGTAAAACAATAAACATGTACAGTATATTCAGCTATTTGGCTGTTTGGCGTTTTGCTAAGTACAAAACAAATTCTGTCATAGAATAGGTGTAGCCACGGTTTAGTCACTGGAGAGCGAACAAATGTAATGCCTTCAGAGGAAAGACATTGAAGAAAGGCATTTGTAATATTTGAACAGGCTGATAACCAGTCCATTTTTGCTGGCTTTTCCCTAAAATAAATAATTTATTCAATAATTACATTTTTGTTTTAATGTTTGTGAGTTGAATTATTGGCAATATCGCACAATTGAAGTATAGAGTAGAAAGTGGCAAGTTTATATCTTGCTAGAGTTTTATAAATGTCAGTGTGAATGGCTCGTTCTCGTACGGTTGTGCTTACAGGAGGGAGGTGGGTATTTTACACTTACACCACCCAGGATCATAGGGTGACTCAGGCCTCGGGAAGGCCACTGTGTACCATGCTCACAAAGGTCTGATTTTGTAGCATGATCCGCTGTAGATGTAAAACTGTTTTATTTTTGCAGCATGGTGTTTGGTTGAATTCCCCCCTTCAAATTAATTTTGTTCTAAATAAACAAAGCCACTTTTTATTCATATTTAATAAACCGAATTTCCTTCCAAACATTTTGGATGTCCTGTCTGGCCTTATGTTTTTTCCCCTAGGTGTTGCTACATAGTTTGCTGTTTAAAACTGTTCTGTTTTTGCCAAAAAAAGAAAATGAACATGCATGATAGTGTTTAATATTACATTAGAAAGTAAAGCTGCATCTTACACAGAACAGAAAATCCTCCTAAACTGGAATTGTAGTCATTTTTATTTTTAGACTTGCATATGAATCCTAATTCACTCATATTATTCATGTGAATGAATCATGTCAATGTAACTAACCTTAGCAATACATTCAGAGGGCCAGCCACGATGTCTCATTATATATGGCAGCTCTGCATTCTGGTTTGGATTGCTGTATTGTGATTGGCTTTTCTGATTTTCTGTCTTAGTACAGATCTGTCTTCTAGGACTAATGTACAACCAATTTGTAGCTAAATGATCATATATTTGTAGTTTAGGCCCCCCATTTACACAGGTTTGTTGTGGTGCGCAGCTAAACCGCACTCAAGAAGTCCAAGTAACTCCCCCTTTTTTTTTTTTTTCTTTTCAATGTGGTACGATACAATGCACATGCAGTGGGTATGTCTGTTGGGGTGCCATTAAGAAACAATGACACAGCAGCACACCTAACGTTTCAACATGCGATGCGGGATTACGTGCATTATCACACACGCTCCCACATCACAAAGATGTAAACGGAGCCTAACAGATATGTTGGCCACCCTTCCCTATACACAGATAGCCAGCAGAGGGAGACTCTAAACATCTGTGTAAAATGCAATCATACTAGTATATAAAACCTCCAACATGTTTAATGAGAATGTGTCCTGCATATTATTTCTAGGTAATTGCTGCAGTATGCACTCAATGTGTCCTTACTAAAAATGTCTGTGAAGCTTCTCATTCATCCAGGTCATGGTATATCTGAAAAAAGAATAAATCATGGCAACTGGACTTGCTGTATTTTTCTTGAAGACGTTTCCCTGGTCATCTGACCAGCTTTCTCCATTCAGAATTCTGAATGGAGAAAGCTGGTTGGATGACCAGGGAAACGTCTTCAAGAAAAATACAGCAAGTCCAGTTGCCATGATTTTTTTTTTTTTTTTTTACAGCCTTACTAAAAATGTAGTATAGTTTTTTTGAAGTCATTATTTGCTCAGTTGCTGAGGTATTATAATGATATAATAAAGGCGGCCTGCTCTGTGTCCTTTAGTAGAATTTCTCAACATGAAGTCCGCTGTAAGTAGCAAAATACTATCTATGGACATAAGAGATGGATATATTTCTGGTCTCTTTTGGGATTCTGTGGTCATTTATATAGGCTAGATAGGAGGAAGGAAAGACTGGCATCTAGTTGCTGCTTGTATGCGCAGATACCTTATACAGGGCCCCTGATGCCCCAGGATCTCAGGTGCACTATTAGGCAGATCTTGGGTCCCCCTTCATCCACCCCTCACAGCTGGCCATTAAGTATGATTAGGCAGCCTCACTGGCCAGTTGAATAGCAGGAGGGGGAGGGCCTGAGATCTCGACCAAAGGATCTGGGGTGGATGCATTGAAGAGTGCCCAAGGTTTTGAGGCTCCCAGGTCAGTCTTAGTTCTACATGTCGGCATTGCCTCTTGAACAGATCTGTTTGTATGTGAGCTACATGTATAAAACGGTCCGAAAAGCAATATGGTGCCGGCAGCAGGAATTTGGCATCCTAGTTACAATGTATAGGATCCCTTTAGGAGATAAGCGGCACGGAAAGGCCATTTAGACTCTTCAATATATGAGACCACTCGTGTGTAAGGTTTAGGGGGTCTTTTATAGTCAACCTTTCTTAAGACAAATATAGCAGTATTCTCTGAGTCACAGTCCTTGAGCTTAAATAAGTATGTCAGCATGACAGCCAGGAAACCAGTGTTTGCAAAATGAGATCCCTGCCTTCCTTAGGAAATGATCATTTTAAAGGGCATCCACATTCCAATTTCCTATGCAAGAAGCTTCAGATGGAATTACTGAAACTTTGTAGGTTTAGTTTTATTGGGCTAGAACTAATATAGCACTTGGAAAAGAATGGCGGCTTTTATCTGTGGCTTCCACATCACAGGTGTTTTGCCTTGTGGAAAACTCACTTTAAGGGGTATATTTATAAACCATTCGCAGAGCCATTGGCCCTGTAAAATTGCATGCAGTTTTTTTCGATGCGAATGAAGGCAAAAGCTAACGTTATTAGCTTATTTTTTTTCTCGGTTGAATGTAATATCGCGTAAATACTTCATTCTGGCCACTAGATAAAGACGAGGAGCATAAAAATACATTCTATCAGCTCCATCTAGTGGTCACATGTAGTATTTACTTGAGATTACATGGAACTGGAAAGAAATATGCTAATTGCATTTGGTTTTTTTGCCTGCATTCACACAAAGAATGTACATGCAATTTTGCAGGACAAATGTGAATTGTTTATGCATACACTCCTAAGTCTAAACTTGTTTTGTAAATAATGAAATGCATGTTCATTTTCAGTGGAAAGGTGTTTATATAACGCACATTGTTGATGGTGCTACTACCATTTCCACTTGTAACAGATAACAACCTTTACTATCATGGCAAAGGTTATTGCACTGGTGATCAATGCACTGCTTCATGGAGATCTATCAACAAAATAGTCTCAATATGTTGTTTGAGCATTTATGAAACAATTGATTTATCAGTTTTGAGATGATCATTCTTTTGTGTTTTTTCCAGGCTGAAAAGCTCTGCAGCTTAGGAATGTTTCACCACTGGTGTTAAGAACTTTTACTGCTGCAGCTCTGATCATGGATGGAGGGTTCTTCCTTATAAAACTTGAAGCCTTCTATAGTAGGCACCTGCTGTCCATGTTCCGTCCTCCTGATTTGCACATATATAGTGGACTTTAGGAGTTCATCTGTGACCGCACACAACCAGATCCTAAGCTGGAAACTAATTGATGTTCATATATATACAATACTGGAAAACCCCCTTTAATGTACAAGTAATATGCACCTAAATTTTAAAAACAAAGTTTGTGTAACTGTGACAACATATTGAAACAGATTATTTTGGAAGGTCTCCATAAAACATTTTGAAATATTTTTTGATTCATATTTCAAAAAAAGGCAAAACAATCGTGACCTATAGTGTCCCTAGTAAGTGCCCTGATAACTGTCCTCTTCTCTTGTTTTTTCCTGTTGGACTGCAGGTTCCTGAAGAGGGTGTCTGTGAACCTGGGCGAGATGTGGAAGGCGTTTACATGCAGCTTCTTTTAAGGGGAGGGGATTAGGTCGGGGGACACATGTGAGAACATCAACACGCATGTACGCATGATACATACATACATTATTCACTAACTTACAGACACCCTGATTTCTATATTTTTTTGGGGGGGACGTGGTGCATTTTCCGCTTCTGCCAGAAAGTGCATCAGGTATCTGCCCTTCATCATTTCACCTTTTCATTGTACAAATATTTAACTGGAAAACAAACTAGTGAATGTTTTGCTGCACTTTTGCCTTTATTTAAATTTGAATCCCGCAGTCTCCGTTCTAGGTTCATCACTGTGGAACCGTGGTCTATACTACGTTGAGGATCTTGCACTCTTTCCTGAAACCAAAATCAATGCAGCTAATGTTTCCCATAAACCTCAGGTTGCTGTCTGAGGTTTTCTAACTTACCACTGCGGTCCATAATTCCAATGTTTACATAATCAGAATCAGTCCACAGTAATTTGCTTGTAATTAAGCAGCACTTTGAATATTCACTAGAGTGTTTTGATTCTTCATCGCTATGAGGCTGGGTGCCTTCAGGATGTTAACTTGCCAATATCTGCCTGTGCCATCTGCATTATTGACGCTAATCCTTCCCATCTGCATGAATGATGCTTCTGTCCATAACTGTATTCCATTGCCTGATTTTCCTTCCACAGTCTGTACTTCTAGACCGCCATTCTGTCAGAACCACTATTTTTTTTCCCCTCAACCACCAATCACTAAATATCTTTTATGCCATTTTTTTTTTACTTTTGCTGCTACGAATCTTCATCTTTTCTGATAACTTATTACATTCCAGTTTTTTTTTATTTTGGAAAACGATAATTTTGTATATGTCTTGCACGTGCTCCATTCCTGGGAAAGAGAACAATCTGGCTCCAGACGTGCCTCAAGTTCATCCACACACGGGGCAGTTGGCCAAAGACCGAAGATCTTCATTGTTCTCCCCACAGACCCGACCCAACTACTTTCCACTCAGACGCTGCCTTAAACTGGAGTGCCTAGGAGGTCGATTGCCAGTGTGTTAAAAGGTTTATTATTCCATAGTTTCCTTTTAAATGGCTTAAAGCAGTGATTTATAAACCTATCCTCAGGGAAATGACCTTTTTAAGACCATGTTTCTTCTTGATTTGACCAATATGTTTTAATTGAACTTTGGTTCAAACTAGTCAGTTATGTTATTGGGCTTCTTATAACTGGTAATTTCTGAGGATAGTGCTTAAACATTCTGTCTTCTCCTCAGTGTTTTTAAGGTCTACCAAGTATCCAGTGGTGACCCTCCAAGCACTGGGGAAGTCTTCTGTGCCACAACTGCAGAAGCAGCCTCTGCGCTGGTCTCCTGTTGTTGACCGTTCTGGATAACATCATGTAGAATCCAGACCATGTAACACAATCATTGTATTTTGTTGATTGTCTTTAGGACTGTAGAGTATTTGTGGGTTAGGAGGTCCACTTTATTGAATTGTTAAATCTGTTCGCAGGCAATCGTTTTATTGTATAAACCTGATAAAATGACAGTAATACGTAATAATTATGTGCACTTTTCTTTTATAAACAAGTGTATTGATGATCTGTTTTATAATGTACATATAGTTGTCTAAGACCACTTTAATCACTCGTCTCTTCCCAAATCTGTGAATGAACGTGTGTAAAGGAGGAAAATAGCTCTACTTGGGTTCATGTTTCATAGAACATATCAAACGGTTTCTTCTGTGTTGTAGTCTACAAAACCAATTCTTTTTTTAGCTTTGATACCCCTCTGGCATTCATGAAAATAAATAGCAACATCTCTATAAATGCTGTATGCTGTGTAAGATTTTTCTTGCACTGGAAACAGGAATACTCTACTGGTGCAAGTCGCCTTTTTGGGAGGGATGTTGGACTTCATAGGCCTCATGAATTGTCTTGGTGTTGCTCATAGCAACCTATCCCCTTTCAGTCAGTTTGTGGTGGGACATGAAAGAGAATCTGATTGACTGTTATGAGAAACAGTCTTGCTATGAGGCAGATTTTATTTTTAAGCAATGTTCCTACTACCTTCCTTTATTATCAAACAATAATGCTGTTTTGAGTTTCCCCTTCAACCACCACCAAGGGCACAGTTACACTTTATGATTTGTGTTTGTGGTAAAGCATGATCGAAGATCTCCCATCATAGAATACCACCGTTTCATTACTATCATTGTGACAATGACAACCTGCCGTACCTGTTCACAGGAGGTGTGACAGGCAGGCATGGTCACAGCAAGTAGGAAGTGATTGCAGGAGATTTTTTAGCTACACAGTTATACGATCTACAGATCACACGTGTACACATTTCTATCAGTTTGTTTTTAATAGGAAAAAAAAATTGCCCCATTGCATAGTGCTATTTACCCAACTTATCTCCTCCTTTCTGCCAAGTGTAGACACCGTCACTTGCTGAGACAGTGCCTCTTTTAAAGTATATTTCCACTTTTGTAGCCAAATTTCTGGACACCCCTCTATATGTTTTTGCTCCCATTCATACAAAATAGCTCAAAGTGATTTTTAAAAATATATTTACCTTTTTTAGATGTGCCTTTGGAGAAGGCCTCTGGCAGATTCCAGGCTATTCTGAGCAGTTTAAGAGTAAAAGTAGAGGGTCAAGTTGAATGACGGACTGAGCTTCCTCTCATTACCATGCAATGCTTTTAAGTCTTTAAATCTGAACTGTGTCTGTCCTAACAAAGTGATGGTTTACAGCTGATAATGAAATCATCCAGCACTGTTCAGACAGGGATCATTAGACTAAACATAACTCCCCTCCTACTTACATAGGGGGTGGCTAGGTAGGGTTTTTAAGCAAGTGTAAAACACTTAAAATGTAAGTAGCTGTTAAAATAAGTTATGTGCATGGAAACCTATAACAATATAAAGTAGGTGTTCTCTCAATTTGGCTGCAAAAGTGGAAATACACTTTAAGGAAGAATGCTGTTCTTGTGGATGGGGGCTCATTAGAAAAAAATCTATTAAGTGGTAGTAGTAGATGGATCATTCAGTGCGATCCTTGATCAAGCCATAGAAGATGATTGTGGCGGTCACCTAAGCAATAATTGGTATTTTGGGATTCCAATAATGCCATTGTGTGACTGGCCTGAGCTGTTTGGCTGCCATCTTTACTGCATTCCCACAAGTGAAGTGCCATTTTCTCTAAGCCTAACCACTACTAAAAACTTTTCAAACCCAGTTAATGTGTGTATGTCTTATTAACTGCTAGGATGAGTTATTAAAAATGATTTTCCACAATCATCCAGTGTTATATTCCACTTTTTTGGTATACACAATATTATAACACTTTTGTTAATTTAAAATACTGGCTGAAGAAAGAACTTACCACTGTCAGAGTATATACATTTTGGACTATTTAAAGCATTTGATGAGATTTTGAGTATTGTATACAGGGGTTTATTTATATAATGTCTTTACTCAATATTGACAAAACTACAAAAGGGTAGTTTTTTTTATGTAAAATCAAATTGTACACCACTTTGCTGTCAGCATGGCCTGTGATATGACCGGTTCTCCCAAGGCGGGGATTGATGGAAATATGTATACTTTATGTACACTCACTGAGCTTGTGTCTTTGTTGGCTCATTGTACCAGTGAAATCATTCATCAAGGCCTAATAAAACAATAAGGACTCTTCATACATGACTGTTTTTTCTTTTACTGGTTCCACTCTTTCCATGTGGAACAAAGCAGAATACGATGAGTGATAAATGCAAGGGAAACATGTTTTTTCTTCCAATTTAATCATGTAGTGCAAAAAGCAATGATGTACTGTAACAGTCAGTTGTTGCTTGTAAGGAGTTATGTCCATGTCCTGCTGCAGTGACTGAGGGTGCCAGTGTCACCATTCATTGAAACCTCAGAGAAGAGCTTAGTGTATGGCTTTGTATATAGGGTACTTGATGAGACTCTTGGAAATACTCCAGATTTATAATGGAATGGGATGTCCAGTAAGCTCATATAGATGGATGGTTAGGTATACAGGTGAAACTCGAATAATTAGAATATCGTGCAAAGTTCATTTATTTCACTAATGCAACTTAAAAGGTGAAACTAATATATGAGATAGACTCATTACATGCAAAGCAAGATAGTTCAAGCCGTGATTTGTCATCATTGTGATGATTATGGCTTACAGCTCATGAAAACCCCAAATCCACAATCTCAGAAAATTTGAATATTACATGCAATCAATAAAACAAGGATTGTACATAGAACAATATCGGAAGGCATTGTGGTCATCTGAAGCCCGTCCCTCAGGGGGCGAGGCTTACAATCATCGCATGTACGATCTGCCTATGCAAGATAGGCAGATCGTATGTTTTTTAAGTACCTTACAACCATCGCAAGACAAAAGTCTTGAGATGGTTGTAAGGTGTGTGCCCAGCCTGAGAGACCATTTAAAGGCTCAGGAACCCTTTGCAGGTGTTATGGCTTAATTAGCTGATTAGAGTGGGACACTTTGAGCCTAGAATATTGCACCTTTTCACAATATTCTCATTTTCTGAGATTGTGGATTTGGGGTTTTCATGAGCTGTAAGCCATAATCATCACAATTATGACAAATCACGGCTTGAACTATCTTGCTTTGCATGTAATGAGTCTCTCTCATATATTAGTTTCACCTTTTAAGTTGCATTAGTGAAATGAACTTTTGCATGATATTCTAATCGAGTTTCACCTGTATAAATACTGATCCAGTCATTCTACTTTCATGTACCAATATTCACACAATCTACGTTATTTTGCCACGTTCTTTGTCCTTAAGACTTTGTCTCACATATAGACATATACAATGTCTTCAATATCAGGTTGTCCCTCTTCATGTTTCTAAGGGCCACTGTTAACAGGTGCACAACCCCCAGGTGACACCCCACGGCGACCTCATCGCGCATGCGCGGTTATCTAATTGATGCCTGCCGGTGGCCATCTTAGTGATGGACGCCGGCAGAGAGAGAGGTGACACTGGCGGACTCTCCGTCCATGAGAGTGCCTGACTTTTTAGAGGGGGTGACACCAAAATGACAGTCATTTTGGTGTCACCCAGGTAGCACCCCCCTTGTGACGCCACTGGTGTGGTGCAAACCCAGGTCACCTGAGTTTGCCCAAGCCTGCTCAAAATGATGACTGCCACCTCCTCCCGCCCTGTTCATTTACAAAGAGGTGCATTCCCCACTCCAGCAGCTATACCTCATAAAGGACAAGGAATGGCACCACTGATTGGGCTGGGAGAGGGGAGCGTCAGTCACAGTTGTGAGTGGGCTTGGGCATACTCAGGTGAATTAGGTTCACACCAAGCCCCGGCTCCTCTCTACACTGAAACATTCAGAGGATTTTTGACTTGCATGAATTCTAAGCTGTCATATGGCCCTGAGCTAGTAACCCTGCAAACAAAGCACGGCTTTGCAGATGAGAAACAGACACATAAAAGCCAAACCTTTTAAGGTGGCCATGCACTGTGCAAATTTCGTCCGATACTTGAGGACTGCACATTGTGCACTGCGCTGTCCACCCTTTCAGTCAGCATCCCTCCATCAGCTGATTGGAAAACTTTTATACAAACAGAGCTGACAGCTTTTTGGGAATACAATAAAGGTGTCCATACGCCTTGCGATTATCGTACGAAATCCCGCGTTTGTACGATAATCGCAAGGTGTATGGAAGGTGTGTGACCGTTGCACATCTTTTGTCGAATCAGCAGGCTAGGAAACCCGCTGAAAATCATACGATTCTCGGCGGGTTTCTAGCCTGCTTGACAACTGCGGAACGGGCCAGTGTGCGCACACTGCCCATTTAGCATTTCGGTCAGCGGGGTGGGCTTTCGATGATCGCAAGGTGTCCAGTTTTGGCTTGTTCATGTGATGGTTTGGTTTATATGTGCCCGGTCAATGTCCTACTCCTCTAATGACGCTTTTGTATTTCACTCACACAAACTCGGTTCTGACATTGAAGCCAACTCTCTCCCGCCAGTGGTAAAATTCATGTTTACTGTCATTAGCAAAGTCCTGATTTTATTAACATGTAATCTACTGCCATTGTCCATTCCGCTACTGCCTAATTAGTAGCCAAGGTCGATTCAAAGTCATTAATAAATAATTGGCTGTTATGGTTACTTAAAAAAATATACATTGTACAAATATAACAAGAGCCATTCCTACGGACTGTCTTTTTAGACTTGTCTGTGAAATGGTCAGAGATGGGTTTGCCTTAGGTAGGTGGAGGTTCCAGTTTCTTTGACAGCGCTGTTAAGATCTGGCTGAACTTCTGGTATCTCTCAGGCTGGCTGACTTGGGCTCCTTTACTGCCCCAGAGAAGCCTCATTTGAAACTCTGTGCGGAAGATCTCGCTCATCTCCTCATCTGGGTTAAAACCTAACAGGATAAAAGAAAATTATTGAAATTAAACTATGAGGTGTAAACTATGAGGTGACATTCAGAAGATAAAATGTATGATGAGTTATCAAAGGAAAAATAGAATTGTTTGGGTTTTTACTCTTGGTAATAGGCCAAAAACCCGTCTGTATAACATAGTCCTATTGGCAATGTTTGACCAGACAAAGTAAGAGGGACTCACCATCAGCAACACGGACATAAGTTGTGTGACATCATGGAAACTAGGCGTCCTCGGAATGGCCGCTATAATCAGGTGAGTGACTGTTTTAACAGCACTGGGAAGTTGCTCAGCATAGCGGCTGTTTCTGGTCCCACAAGATGCAGTCATACACTTTAGTAGCTGTGGCTACTATAATGTGTTACAGGATCTCCATGGGACTGCCAGGGATTTTATATGTAGGTGTATTTTATTTAAACTGGAGTTCTTAAAATGGTTTGTTGTAACCCTCTATCTGCTGCTTTTGCTGGACAGCTTAGTCTGTTTAAAGGTCAGTTCACACCACAAACTGCGTTCCAGAGTGGTCAGCCTCTGGAATGCACTGGTCAGCCTCTGGAACGCACTATCACAACCCATTCCACTCCCTGCATTCAGGGGTGGGAGAGGGCATGGCAGTGCATTGACGTCTATGGCACCGCAGCCACGCCTGCACCCTAATGCATGGCACATTAGTGCCTGCGTTCCAGTCCAATCTGTAAAAATGCTGCTAGCACTATTTTTGGTCAGCACGCGTGCGCTTGCAGGCAGGCATGGCATAGCTGCTGTGCCATTGACTTCAATGTTCCACCACGTTCCTTCCAGGGAGCCAGCTGGGTTGTGATATAGTGCGCTCCAGAGGCTGACTGCTCTGAAATGCACTGTGGTGTGAACCGGCCCCAAATGAAGCTCAAAAATAACAGATTTACTGGCTGGATCATGTGGTAAAAAAAAGAGGAAAATGGGGGGCTGGGGTTTAAAAGGATCAAAAGTGGAAATAGACTTGCAATAACCAACAGCATTCATAAGCAAGTAAAACAGCCAATTCTTATCTTATACCAGACCACACACACACTGCACAAGACATAGTGTAAAATATGACAGGGCCTCTTTCCCTCCCCCTCTCCCCCCCCCTTACCTTCCAATGCCTGTTGTGCATTGCTTTGATACAAAGCTGCATTTTGGGCTATGAATCGTCCAGTTTCCAGGTGACTGAACATTATTTCACATCCTCGGTCATGGTTCTCCCACCAGTCCAGTCCTTCATAGATGGCGGACTGACGCTCCAGTAGCATTAAGAGAGGCATCACAAGAGGGACCGTGGATTTCTCTTGCATGGTGAATACCACTCCTAGGGCGAGACAATGCAAAGGTTATTCCAGAGCCTCATTTATCACACTACAATTCCTTAAAATAGAAACCATGACCACCAACTGAACTAGAAGATGTATTAACCTAAAGGTTTATGGACTAAGGTGGTAAGTTTGTGACGTGGACTTCATTCTCCTCTACCTTATAATTAACTAAGGTCATGAATAATAGAAAAGCACACGTGAGGTTATTCATTTACAAGCTGTGACTGCAATAAACAACACAAGTCCATTGAATAGTTCACATTAGTCTTAGACCATAGTAACCTGGATAGTGTCCCCCGAACTGCATTTTCAATGGGTGAGATAAGTTTATTTAAATTGGAACTGAAATCAAAGTATTATATTGTAAAGCCTCATCACCCTCCCAATACTTAAAGCAAATCAAAATTCAGACCTCACATCGGAAAGGTCTGTAGTGTTAATTATCAGATTCCATGGTGCGCTCACTATGCTATACCTAAGCTGGCTGTGTACAGTACTGTATAAGCAGCCGCATATACACTGATCAGCCATGACATTATGACCACGGTGATGCACTGCGTGTTCAGACACTCTTTCATCGGAACCAGCATGCACTTGTTTTAGCAATTTCAGCTACAGTAGCTCTTCTATTGGATTGCACTACACAGGCCAGCCCTCGCTCCCCACGTGCATCAATGAGCCTGGGCTGCCATGACCCTGTTCCTGGTTCTCCTTGGGCCAGTGCAGACCGGGAACATCCCACAAGAGTGGCAGTTCTGGAGTTGTTCTGACCCAGTTGTCTAACCATCACAATTTGGCCCTTCTCAAATCCTTACACTTGCCCATTTTTTCTGCTTCCAACACATCAACTTCAGGGACAAAATATTCACTTGCTGCCTAATATATCCCCCAATATCCCACCCACTTTCACGTACCATTGTAATACAATGGTACGTGAAAGTGGGTGGGATGTATTACAATAGTACGTGGAAGTGGGTGGGATGTATTACAATGGTACGTGAAAGTGGGTGGGATGTAATACATCCCACCCACTTCCACGTACTATTGTAATATATCCTACCCACTTCCACGTACCATTGTAATCAATGTTATACATATCACCTGTCAGTGATCATAATGTTATGACTGATCAGTGGATATCCACCATTCCATAGACTGACAGGCAGCCCATAGAACTCTATACAATAACTGTAATTTTGTTATTTTTTGCCTAAAGCTCATCACACATTGCACAATCTCCTTTAAACCTGCCATCAGAGTGTAAACAACTATGTAGTGCAAGGTCTGCCTGGTTGACTGCAGGTGGGGGGTTAGTTTACAGAAGTCCTCATCTTGCATAGTTTTGGTAAATGTAAAGTTCATTGTACAGTCAAATTGTAACATTTGGTGAACTTAAAATGATAGTAAACAGGATGTCAAAGATCTCAGTTGTACTTTTTACATTAGTCGTTTCTACTAGCAGTTCTTTCACAATGCAAGTTTGTATTCTGAAGTGTTTTTTTTTTAGATTATAGAACCCAAAACAGTTCAATCTGACTTTTATGGCACTTTGCTGTACGTCTTAATAAAACCAAAATTTACTTTGGTTTTGTATGGAATGGAAAGTTAAAACTTGTCAGGTTTTTCTGCTCTCTGTGTCTCCATTAGGGAGAGTTACCCTCAATTCCTGTTCCAGAGCTAGGATGTCACAAGGATGGGACATGATGGAGACAGATGGCAACAACAAAAGCACAAGTAGTACTGCCCAATAGTAGACCACTGGTGAGGATTTGATTGTTCTCTGATGTAGGGTGTACACGCTTAGAATTTCATAGGAAGAAGTCATTTTTGGAACGTTCGTTTGAAAATCAATCAGTATGCTGCAACCGACAGACCTAAACGACAATGTTCCCGAAAATGTTCAAAGGCGCATGTTGGAAACATTTTCTCAAATGAAGTTCTAACAGTGAATGTTCGAAAAACTCCATTAAATGAAATTTGGAACGACAATTGCCAAGCCTATGATGGTATTATTGATTTTTCGTACAAACGTTCATTCAAAAATGTACCCGTGTATACCCTACTTATTTCTTTCCATCTTGGTGACACTCACACGCTGATGTCTTGTCCTGGTTTCAGTGGGACACCAATGAGGATGAAGGTCCCCAGTAAGTTAAAGACAATAAAAACTTGACAGACATTCTCATTCTTAAATCACTACTGAAAGTCTGCAGAAAAATGTTGGCTTGAGTTGGGCAGTCACTAGCCCTTGTCACCAGGTCACACTTCTCAACGTCAACCCTTTTTTTAATACTGCAAATACTACATACATCTGTGCAATTGTTTTGCGATTTGCTTGTTCTTTTATTTTAAGTTGCAAGAGCTGCAATTGAATTATCTCCAGGAGTGTCTGAGCCTACGATCTAGGTCACCGCTCCCAGCAAAACCCGGAGCTGAATCTGACAACAGGAGCCACCTGTACACAGCTGCAATGAAAAGAGTTGTCCAGACCATATGACAGCAAAGATTGTGATATATCTATCTGGAAGCAGCTTCCGCTGCCAGTCAGTGCGAGGCTTTGCTGAGAGAGGCAACACGTCAACTCCTGAGGTTTTCCAGAGCTTAAGTGGGCTCCCGCTGTCAAGGAAAGGTTCTCTCTCTAAATAACACCCCTACTCTGTCCAGTAAAACCAGCAGGAAGCACTGTTCATACTGGTCATATCATAACTGCAACATTTCCAGGGCTGCTGAGCTTACCTGTACCTTCATACAAACTTTTGTTGAAGGGTTTCAGCTGTTTCTCATAAGTGATTGCTGTCTGTGTGTACTGATGTCTTAAGATGGTCCAGGTTGTTTCCAGCCTTGTAATCTGTAAACACAGAAAGAAAATCTGTACTTGTGTGCCATTGTTATAGAGGAGCCAGCTGTGCATTTCATCTACAAACATGAGTTCTGTGCGGTGGGGGCGGGGGCATTATTCAAGATGTCATGCGTGCTATGGATCTGCTTTGTTTACAGCAACTCAGTGCTAACATACTTGAATTCATAACCATGCCCTAAATTAAAATGCATAAAGTGCTTCTAGTCAAAAAGCAATGTGCTATAACTTCCAATCAGCAACAAGCTTACTGAACTAACTACAGTAAACTGAAATCTGATTGGCTGCTATATGTCCTTGTTCTCTGGGATGCACCCAAACTACATGAGCACCTCTACGCTGCCAGAGACCGTTATGGGATGTTACAATGGCAAATGTCCAGGGCAATTCTGTACAGCTGCTGATGGCCATTCTGAGGAAGCTTGAGTGTCAAAGCAAAGCTCGCCGTCTCAACAAAGTGTACAAGTATACATATTACCTAAAAAAGTACTGGTGATTGGAGCCATGGTAATAAGGTTCCCTTCATTTATGGAACATTTATTAAAAGACTGGAAGTAGGGATGAGTTTGGTTTCAGTCTGAACTTAAGTATCTCCAAGCCTGGAAAGACACTGTCAGCGTGGGCCCAATCAGATTCGGCCAGGGTATACCGCGCCCTGCAGCTAATTGACCTCACATGGCCATATTTGGTCAATTTAATATCGCTATATAAAGGCAGCATCCCATCCCTTGGTGCAACTGAAAGGTGGGGAATGCCCCAGCCGCAGCTGATTGGGCTGGCAATGACTGCTTTCTTCCTGGTCGGCATTGACTGCTTTCTTCTTGGTTAGACCTGAATGCGAACTGGCCCCTATCTGGGAGATTCTGAACCCAGATTTGACCCTGCTAAATCTCTAAGGCTCCATTCACACAGCGTTTTAAACTCAGCAAGTTGTTTTCACAGGAAAATCGTGCAGTCAGTCATACGCACACATACAAATGTGCAAATTGTACTAGATGCACGCTTTTCCGCTTGTTTGCAGCGAAATCCTGTCATTTGGGGAAAAGACTGACCAGAAAATCACACATGTACGTTCTACTGTGTTCTGCGTTTTTGTGCGAGCGTACACATGCACAGGTGTGAACAAGCCCCATAAGAATGCATTGCGCGGAATAACACTTGTGTGAATGGAGAATAATAGGCCAGCTACATGCTATGCAACGGGGGGGGGGGGGGGGTCGCTCTACATAGGGATGTGCGG